ATGGACTTTATAGTGGTGGCAACCGTTAGATGAGCAATGCGCAATGGGAAATGAGCGTGCCTAGAGTTCCGGTACCTATCTGGAAAATAGGGAGGATACTGTACGTGCTCCCGGGGTAGTTCACCCGAGGCACTAGCCTCTTGAGAGCCGGATGAATCTCAGTGACAGCGGTCTGTCTGTGACAACCTTGTACACTAGCTGATCTGGAGTCAGAACCTCAACTTAGAAGGTTTGTTTCACTATAGTTTACAGTGAAACGAAAAAAAATATAATAAAAAAATATAAAATCAAATATTAACCGGAACTTATTACAGAAGTGTATAATACATTGACCCGTGCATATGTGACGTTCTGAAGACGACTGTCAAGAACAGCCAGTGTGTTTTTATAAAATCTTCTCTTTCTGTTTTTATAAAGTTTAGATGGGACTAACAAGTCGTGCTCCTGATGGTAAGTGACACATCTGTCCATAACTGTTGCAGTACCGCTGAGAGCTTTAAATCACAAAGATCTGAGGGGCTGCCACTGCGCCCGACACCCTGAGAAATAAGTTGGCCAAGTCCCATGTACCTGTAATTTCACCAGCTAGCTCCCTTACCCTTCCAAACCGGAACGCAGTAATGCCCACATTATTGCTTGGCGGCAGAAATAGGTAAGGTGGCAGTACTTCCCTGAACGAACTCTTTCACAAGGAACTCTACATCTAATTTAACTATTTTTAAAGACGCGCTGCAGAACTTCAGCAGCCGCAACAACATCGTAAAAGCATTGTTGTTATGGGTCTTATGAGAATACTTTCCTGATCGGAGACACGACCGGTGCAACTTAGTCTGGTAAAGCAAATTTTTGTATGACACCTGTTACCTTTTAGTCACGGTGTATCTGATGTTACCTATAAGTTTAAAAATTTGTTTAAAATATGTTATTTTGCATGTCTGTCTAAGAATATTTTCTGTAGCTACACTGATTTCGACGACGTTTTCAATCTATGTACGAGGGCGATATTGAAAGATTAGGTTCATGTTATTGCTCTGACTTACTCAGTAACCACGTTTAAAATTTCGATGTATTGTTATTAATACAAAGATCAAATAAACACAAAGAAAAACTTCTTTAATCCGACTGGATTCGAACCAGTGTTTGTTGCCTCAACGTGGCTACCGCTCTTCCCAACAGAACTTCGGATAGAGCCATTGTTTGTTATGAATTTTTTTATGTGCCTGTTGCGATTCTTTGTATTATTTGTTAGAACTTATAAAACTTCTCCTCACTCAGCCACCTTTGCAGCGACCGTAAAACTTAGATCAATACCTTCCTTGATAACTTAGGTCGAGTACTACGAAAATCATTGTCTCGAATGATTAGCAATAATTCAGCTCAAACAGCCAACTTGAGTCCACTTTCTACTAGATTCAGCAATGTAGTTAGAAAAAATTAAGAACCTTAGAAAAAAGCGATTGGTACGAGAATAGCTGGTGAAAAACTACAAAAGCAGGCAAAAAATGTCGCTCGAAGCGACCAATTCATTCGTTCCCATATCCGGTTATCGCCGGTTTATCATACGCCCCGGGCCTCTAACTCCGCCCGAGATTATTTTAAGCTCCAACCCTTATGCTCTGATTAAACTATGCCGTTTTGTTACGAGAATTGCCCCTTTTGCACACATACCACTAGATCGAGTTATTGCTTGTTCCTATTTTAGTTCGACGTAATTTATAATTGTATAAATTTTTATTATTATTATACCTTTAAATACATTGGTGATTATTTTAATGTTTCTCAGTTTTAATAGCATTTTATTTTAAAAACTATCAATTGTATTATTCAGAACCTTTTCAAAGAAAAAAAGTAGAAAGACATTCTACTTATGCGTAGAAAAATGGATCTACATATCACGACGGGTTTAGTTTTCTGTAAAAAATTGGCCATTAAAATAAATTTATTCAATTGTTATATGTTTTAATACCACTTAATGTGTATGTATGGAATTAATATGTACGAAGTAGTTTTTTTTTAAGAAAGCTCCCGTTTTCGCCACATAGGAGGTATTATAAAATTAATACCACCCTCAACCTGAGTGGAGTGCAATCATGTGAACATACGGTAAAGGCTTTTGTTCCATTTTCCCTTTTCGTCTCTCTCTTTTATAATTTTCCCGGATTCCCGCCTTGCAAGTAGGGATGTGTGAAAGTTAGTGAAACTTTTATCGAATTATAATTTCGAATAGACTGAAACTAAAATCATTTATTCAAAATAGAATATTACAAACATTTTTTTTATATATAATATAAATACAATTAATTTATATCAAAATAATTCAATATCACAAAGCAAATTTTTATTTTTATTTTATTAATAAAACTGTTTTTAAAAACAATGAAAGTAAAAATAAAATAAAAATGCTTTAGAAAATACCATTGACTTACAATTATATGGACTTCAGGTCCGCGCTAAAAAGTGTCCGCACTTGTAAGGCGCTAAAATCGTATACAGAGCGCCAAACTCCGCTTTAGTCTTCATTTGTTCGACTGACAGCGCGATACTGCGATGACATTACAATTTAAATTTCGAATAGGTTGACTTGGGACATTTTTTTCGTGATTTTTGTATTAGACCCGTCGTCCATTTATTTGTAAGTCAATGGAAATTACCCGTTTTTTTATAATGTTGTAATACAATGTATTCTCAATTAATAATTATTACTTCAGTATAATGTTCTCAATCATTCCTTGCACTATTCTATTTATAGAATCCAGCACACTAAAATCAGAATCAATTTACATAAGTTATTTTACCATAACTCATCAAGGAACTGTAGGCCTCCTCATCTAACGCCCGCAGTGCTAACTGCAATATCCGATGTCATCAATTTGCATTTTGTTTATTGTATGATATGTTCACATTCACCATAATAACAAAGTAATGAGATACACTACTGTAGCAGTAAAAGTTTATAATGACAGGCATTTTGAAGCATATTCTTCCATCTCTACATGGATCGCACAAAAATGCAAAGGCCTTAAAAGGTTTTCGCGCCAATACTTAGGAATTTTATGCGGTTGTGGCTCAAGACGAATGCGTCTCCTCTCCCCTTTTTCAATTTGTAAGATGTGTCAACTTGAAGCAGCAATGGACAGTCGTCATTTTAGAAAGCTATCATCACATCGATCACGAGATTATGAGTTGTACGGAACGGCTTTGACATAGTCAAAACAATTTTATCAGATATCTCTACTATATCATACATTATACAATACAGTAATATGAATTATAGGTCAAGTTCAATAACATTTAACAATTATGATGTTTCAATATTATAACATTTATAGCAGCATCGGATTTGCAACAAACATAACCCCGCTCTATCCTAAAAATGGCACGCCAAAGGAACAACATTTTATAATGATACCAAACATCCCTAAGGAAAATCTCCAATTGATTTACAGCTGAACACATCTCCGAATCCATTTGCAATCCGGTCGCTCAACTATTCCAAATAAAAGGAATTTCACGTACAAAAGGAAACCTGGGGAAAAGAAATAAAAAATATAATAATTCAAAATGGCGTCTGGCCACTTAATAACTGGCTGACACCATTGGGAAATATAATTTAATTTTTCTTCGTTTCCATCCCTGTCTTTATAGTTTATAGTATATACAGCTGTCTCTTTCTGAGTTTTCTTCCCCCCCTTCCCATCAGAAAGTTCCGTTTGTTCGGGAGGCCGGTGTCACCCAATGTTCTGGACAAGAAATATTTGCGATATTGTGTGTATTAGATGATTTGTGTACAGGAACATATACGTGGGCCGAATTTATCGTGTTCTTCTAGAAATCCAAATGTTGGAACTTAAAACATAGATTGTTTTGTATTTTACTTTAATAACTTACACTAAGTTTTTTACTCTTACGAACTTTAAAATTAAAAGGAAATCAAACCAAAATGTAATTTATTTATGAACATAAACAATGAATAACAATAACATATTGTTCAATTGAAGAAAATGAAAGATTTTACATTAACGAATAGCATATCATAAATTATTCGTCAACGTGAAGCTACGTAGGTACCTATAATTTTATGAAAATTCTCAAAATCTTATCTCAAATTTAATTTCAGCCGCATCCTAAAACATCACCATACAAGGTAAACTTGACGGCGTAAAACTATGCAAAAACTGTTTCCACCGAGGTCGCCTGGGGGCCAGGTGTGAGCGTAATATTCTAATGTCAGTAAGAGCGACCCGCCATCCATAATAATATAACCCCTACCCGCTTTTACATAAAACTAGATAACATACTCGTAGGGATAGCACTCGGGTCCTGGGTCCTACCAATCTATCTCGTATTACCTTATCCAAATTAGGTGACGTTCGTTTACTTAGGAAATTGAATAGGCAAGTTGCGAAGGTTAGTGTAGGTATTTGGGGCAATTTAAAATTCTGCTGTGAAAATTATATTGTGAGAAGCATTTTGTTAAGACTACTATTGGTGAAAAATTAATAAGTACTTATTTGTTTGAATTAAAAAAATGCTAATAATCATGCAAGAAGGCTGTTGCATCACACTTTAACAAAATTATGATATACGGAAATGGATTAAATCATCAAAATGAAAAAAAGGTTAGAACTTTCGGAAGTAAAAACTGCCACCTATTGCAAAAGCTTAGAAATACATGGACAACAACGCATACAAAATATAAAAGCGCCACCTTGCAGCAAAATCACTAAATAGAACGTCGTAGACGTAGACCTATAAGATAGGCGTTCTTAATGTTACCGCTAAGTGGCGCTAAAATAATTCTTAATACAAGAGTACATTGAAAAAAATGACACTGTTTGCCACTAAAGTGAAATAGGAAATAAAACTTTATTTGTGTATCGAGTATAATCAGAAGTCATTCCTCGACTCCAAATAACATTACAATGTAGATAGAGTAGAACTACTAGACTTATTTGATATATTTATCAGTATCACTTATTATTTGTTGTTCAGTTTGCACAATGATAAAGGCCAAGTAAGTCATTGCACTTTTCTCACAGTCATTCAACTTCTTGTAAAAACTTACAGACAACTTCAAATGTAGCTAATTTTTGAAGTTACCTATTATAAATGCTGATGAGACAAAATGAGTAAAGTTATTAAATTAATTTAATATAGAATAAATGCATGTCCAATTATTAATGAAAACGTTACATTTTTAACATCTATTAACTTATTTGCTTTTGCAAAATTCGAAAAGAAAAAAGACACACACTGTAATTGATAACTCTGTAGAAAATGTTCTTTACTTATTTGCTGAAGGATTGAAGAGATCCACTTTTATCTCCTTACTATATCTCTTTATTATTGTTGGATGAAAACCAACTGATAGCGCGTCTATTCCTAACAATTCCTACATTAAAGACAGTTGTTTCAAAATTCTATACAATATTTTACTAAATTACTAAAAAAATGCGTAATACTACCGCACATATATCTCCAATTTATTTCAACGTAGCTGAATATTGTTTATTCGGAATAAATTTATGTGTGATTGTGGGAATTATACTTTATTACAATGTTGTGAATAGAAAATATAATACAGTTGCGGGTTTTTTGTTTGGTGGTAAAAATATGTCTATTATATCTATTTCTTTAGCTCTTACTGCCAGGTGAGTGGCTTTTATTTACTATTATTATTTTGGTAGCCCAATGGTTTGACCTACGGCCTCTCAAGCAGAGACCGTAGGTTCGAATCCGAGCTTTTCTATTAAGAAAAAAATAGTGATGGAACCTGCACGTGGAAGATTAACAGCCCTCGGAAAACGTGTGAAGTCACCAACCCACATTGAGCCAGCCTAAAAGGAGACCCATGCTCAGCAGTGGCACGTATAAATGGGTTGATAATGAAATGAAATTATGTTCCCAAACATACAATCTAAGACCATAGAGAGCTGTTGTTCAGTATATGCATCCAATTTCAGTAGTGCGCAGGTTTCGTTGAAAATGTTCATTCCTTTTTTAATCAATTCAATTCTATGAAATACCATTGTTAAATCTTCTATAAGTACTTACACTTATTTCGGTAAATTTACGTCATTTCTTAAATAGATTACAATGTAGCCTATTTACTCATTATGTTACCGTATTTATAAAAGATTGTTGCCAACACCAAGTACTGCAACCGACAATTTTATCTTTTACATCCTTTAAGACACCATTTATTGTGTTTGTTTTCAGTCATATAACCAGTATAAGTTTACTGGGTGTCCCAGTAGAGATTTATTTAAGAGGTACACAATATTGGGCATCGGCACTCTCTCTTATCGTCGTTACTTTTCTCACAGCTGTTATTTATTTACCTGGTAAATATCTATTAATTTTATTATGTAATGCGTATATCCGATATATCCGAATATATCCGATATCTCGGAGTAATGGGCGCAAGGGACACGTCGGCGGAAACATATATTTGTCGCTGATTTTGTCAGGAATTACTTGATAATTGGCCGATTCACACTTCACTTCACAGTTTGAGCTGTCATATTGACATAACATTTGTAAACAAATAAACTATGATCGAGACTATATGATTCGTGCGTAGCCTAGTAAATCGTTTATGTAATAATTAGAAAACAACACAGCCTAATATTAACTAACGTTTATCTTCTCGTAAAGTACATTCCCTAAAAAATAAACCGAATTCTGTTATATTATGTTTGAAGTGATAACTGGCTCCTGACAAATATTTGTAATATTTGTTTACGAATATGTGTATTATGTCATAAATATACTTATAAATTAAGGAGGCCTGCAAGGTCCCATCCTAGGTCTATTTTTATTTTTTGCTACAGAATGTTTAATATATTTTTTTAATCATGCAGTATTCCACAAGTTACAACTAACGTCCAACTTCGAATATTTGGAGATACGTTTCTCGACGCACACTCGGACTATAGCGGCGGTTTTATTTGTCATTAGCAAACTGATGCTTCTACCGATTGTACCTTACATACCGCTTATGGCTTTCAGACTTAGTAAGTAATTATTTATCTAAATAAGTACTATGTATAATTAATTGCTTTTGGGCTACCAGAAGAATGGGAGAGAGGAATCAATTCAGAAGATGCGCAGGAAAGTCTCTCAGAGCATTAAAATTGTCATTGTTAATATATCCCCAATACTGCCGACTGTACGCCATTACTGCCAATACGGTAGAATTTACACGTTACAGGCAATTTGATAAGCCAGGCACTATGAATAATGGCCTGACTATATTAGTAATGCTCGCATCAAATGGGCAATGTAATAAAAAGTACTTGACTAATAATAATTTTGTTCCTGTCTATATGACATTTGTCAGATCACCCTCTCTTGATCAAAGTAATAAAACAAAAAATATTTGTAGTGTTTTGGTTAGGTCAGATTGCGTTAAATTATTCATACAGTTTTACTCACACTACTCGGTCTAAGTGACAAATTCACGCCATCTTAAGCATCAATTTATCAAATGAACCACGGGAAATCAGACATTATTACAACGGACCGGCGAAAGTAAGATATTTATTGTGGTCTGTATTAATAATGCCCAATTAATCAAATTGCCCGTAACATATTATGTACCTACTAAGATAAATTAATAAAAGTAAATTGCACATAATTGCACATTAGTAATCAAAGTTGGCAAATGTTTAATGGTACAATATTGTAACTTTTCGACCTACATTTACAAAGATTTATTTGTTGTGATTTCGCCATGTGTACACATATTAATGTTGACGACTGTATATCTTTTATAAAATTATTAGCATTTTGTATAATATCATATTATATTTTCGATTGCTTCTATGAATGCGGGTGGCTTTGATAAATTTACGGTGGTGAGAAAATAAAAAAAAACTCTTGATAGAAGCTGAAATGGATTGAGGACGTACAAAGCAAGTGATGAAATAAAATTAGTGATAATTCACTTTCCAGTAACCCATCAACTAGCAGCTCGAGTAACAGCGGCACTGTGCGTCGCATGCGGCACTCTTATAGCAGTTGGTGGTCTAAGAGCTATAGTAGCTATAAGTATAGGAACCACTTTCCTGGCTATTGTGGGTACTGGCCTGCCAAGTGGATTGGCATTGCTGCCCATGGGATTTAAAAAGATGTGGCAGATTGCCAACGATGGGGGAAGATTGGTGTTTTATGAGTGAGTGTATATATTTGTAACATCAATTTTAAATATCAGTGTTACACAATCGTACTATTTGAAGAGGTGATGTTTGTTATGCAAGGCTGCAAAGTTGTTGTTTGACGCGAGTGCTTGTATTGAAACCTGAGCAAGCGAAGGAAGCTAAGATTGAAATCCTGAGCGTAGCGAGGGTTTCAAGCCACGAGACACAATACAACTTTGCTGCCGGAAAATGGTAGATGAAAGAAGAACAGTTGACCAATAACAAACAAAATTAGTTATCGTTGTCTTTTCAATGTCAACATCAACAATAATAAGAATAAAATATACCAACAGATTTATATTACATAAATAATGTACGACAAATCGCGTAGTTGAACGTGTCATTATATTTTTTTTTCATCGAAAGAAAAAGTTAGGTGCACCACATTCCATCGTCAAATTCGAATTGCAAAAACCTTTTCCACGCTAGCGTGGATAAAACGCTTTTGCGCGCAGATTTCTAATGAGAAAGAAAGCCTTTCCGAACTAGTGAGGTGAAAAGGAAATTTACACTAGTTAACTGAAATTTTTTCATAAATAGACACATCAAAAGTGTCTAGGAATCAGCGTGTTTTTTTAAATATTTGATTACACTATTAAAATTAAGTAAAAATATCTGTATAGATTGATTAGATTATTAATTATTTATTTATTTATAATTATGAAGTCGATAAAAAAAAATCAATAGTTAGGTAGTTTTTAGTACCTATCGAGTTCTTAGGTTTTCGCGACTGTTACACATAGGAAATGAAACTATTTTTCCAGATTGAAATCGCGTATATTTGTTTTTTCAAACAAACCGACGTTTCGGGCCCTTTACAGGTCCCTGTCAACTCAACCGTGACCATGGGACCTGTAAAGGGCCCGAAACGTTGGTTTGTTTGAAAAAACAAATATACGCGATTTAAACCCGGAAAATAGTTTGATTTTTAGTAATTGGCAAAAACGTGCTTGATCTCTAGGCACTTTTGATGAACAATATATTTTCGAACAATATCTGTACAGCCTCTGAAGTTCTGACTGGTGTACATTGATGTCTACTAAAGGAAAGGAATAGGGTATTCTAGGGCGTTCTTCGAAGCCTTCAAGAATTTTATTAACTTTTTAACTAGAAGACTAAACGTAGGCTTGGATTCCATACCTATGTTGTGGATATTCTAAAGATTCAGAAGACTACAGACACTAGTGGAATTTCTTGCCTGCAGACTTATTCCCTGAATGCTATAACAAGGGCTTTTTTAACCCATTGACTGCCAACTACGCATATATACGTAGCTAGCGAACATGGAAGAGGCCAACTACGCAATAAAACGTAGCACTTCCCTAACAGTTTACAAGAAATCTATACCATTGGGCCCCCTAACTTGAATGTTTTAGTATACTTTGGCACCTCAAATAAAACACCCAATAAAAAAGTAGTAACTTTATTGATCCTAAATTAAATTTTTTTTCGATAATCTAAGACACTTCTAAACAAAAAAAACAATAAAATAAGCAAGTATCGTGTAATAATCATTGTGCGTTTTACCTACTAATTAGTTTCAACTTCTTTTTACAACAATCAACAGTCTAAAGTAAAAAGAAGGTATTATAGCGAAACAAAAAAATCAAACAAAACGAGGGTCGGTGTGAAAAATTTGAAAACAATTTACCACACATAACGCAGGCTTTTCAGGGCACATAGCACACACGAATGTTGTCTCCTTTCGTTTCTTATTTTTGGTGCATACTCGACAAGGTTTAGCTGGAACAGCTTTTTTAGTGGTAGGTGGAATTTTTTCTAGGTAATGGAAAGTTTCAGGATGAACACGCGTAGTCAAAGGATGCTCCATGCGTCTAGCACAAGTTGCTGGCGATGAATGGTAATGGTAAGGTGGTCGTGAGAGTCCGGGCAATTCTGGTGACAATATGTTTTCTTGTGATGGCTGTGCGCGCGGTGTGTTAGACGATCCTGATGGTGCCGAGGTATTCAGTTCCACATTATTGTTTAGTCCCAAAAGATGCGTGATAAAATCTTCGCGGAACTTTAGAAGTCTCGTTTTCGTTGTTCTATTTTTCAGTCGGAATAATCTGTGGGCGTTTTGCAAGTATACTTCAAAAATATGAAGCGCTAGTTTCTTGTGCCATCTCAGTGTCTTCCTTAGGCACGAATAGTAGGAGACCATTTGATCACTTCTATCCACACCAGACATGCCTAAGTTGTAATCCGCTACAATATTGGGTTTCAACGAAATTTTACCATTTTTGTTTAGCACGTTCACCATTTGAACTTGATGTTTGTTGGAAATGACTAAAACATCTCGTTTATCCTTCCACTTACACACGGTAATGTCACTGCAAACTTGTGAAGCAAGTTCTCCTCGTTTCAACTTTGCATTAGTAACTTCATAAGGGATATTTTTGCGATTTTTGCGCAGTGTTCCACAAATGTATGTTTTTCTTTGTCCAATACGTCTTGTCAAATCCGGTGAATTGTAAAAATTATCAGTGTAGACAACATGACCTTTATCCAAATAACCTTCCATGAGATCTAATACTACTTCAGTGCTATGAAGTGTACCGGGTGGAGGTTTCTCGCTCTTACCTTTATAAATACGGATTTTCAGAACCATTCCTGAGGACTCGCAAAGTTCATATAGTTTTACACCATATTTATGCTTTTTATTTTTTATATATTGACGAAAAATCAACCTTCCTCTCCATAAAACCATTGACTCATCAATACTAAGATCGGTTTCAGGATAATACAGTTCGGGCATCAAGGTGTTAAACCTTTCTAATATGGGATTTATTTTATGCAGTCGTGAAGTAGCTGTATCGTCATTTTCAGAGAAATGAAAGTTGCGTAGCAACAGTTGAAATCGATTTCTACTCATGATAGATCGAAAAAGTGGCAAATTGTAAAGCTGATCTGTCCTCCAATAGTGGCTTATGGTTGGTAATTTTATCAATCCCATGTAAAGCAACATGCCAATAAACCTTCTCATTTCTTGGTAGTTCGTGTCTTTCCACTGTCTAAGTCGAGCATATTTTTGTAGGGGTCTGACCGTTTTGTGGGCGTAAGTATTTGTAGCTTGTACCAATGAATCCACGAAATCATTTGAAAAGAATATATCTGCCAATGCAGGCGGTGTAAGACAGAGATTCGTTTTTATACCTGGTTCTCCTAAAAATGCGAATCGCTGCGGTCTTGCTGTACCCGTGCTCCACTGGAATTCTGGATCACACGACGGCGGCTCAACTTCCGGTTCAGGTGGTGCGTCGTTAGATATGGTAGAAGACGAATCGAAATCGCTGGAGTCTGGTTTATTTACGTCGCGGTCAGGATCATATTCATCATCTGATCCGGCAGAAAAATCTCCATCGTCTGACGAAACTTCTTGATAAAGAATCCTCACGATTTCATTTTGGTTTACAGCAGTACGACGACCTTTCAGGATACGACGAGTCGATTCCCGTCCCCGCGGCATTATAATAAATCACAATACGTCAATATCACTGCGCACGCGGTGTCATACTAAAATTTACAAACAGTATTTAATATTTGGTGAATCCCCTTTC